AGGAATGCATTCTCTCTGGAGGTTCTAGGAGAGAATCTGTCTCCTTGCCTTTTCCAGATTCTAGAAGACTCCTACATTCCTTGGTTCATGGCCCCTTCCTCCATCTTCAAAGCCAGCAACATGGAGCCTAGTCTTTCCCACACTTTCATCTCTCTGGTTTGCTTTTGATACCCTCTTCTACTTTTAAAGATCCTTTTGATTAATTACATTGGAACTCCCTGGATAGCCCAAAACAATATCCCCTTTAGCAGCCCTAATTCCATTTGCAACCTTAGTTCACCTTGTCCATGTAACCTAAATGTTCATAGGTGCCAGGCCTTAGCACATACATATCTTCGGGGACTCTGCCACAATGCTTTGTCTTCATTTCCTCTCTTTCTTTTGGGACCCCCTCCCTGTAGGTTTTCCTCCCCACCATTCTTCCAGAATCACCCTCCTCAAGGTTACCAGTGACCTCCATGTTGTCAAGGACAGTGGTCAACTCTTAGTCTCCATTTTAGTCTGCCTGTCAGTGGCATTTGATGCTGGGTCACTTTGCCTTCTTCACTGGGCTTCTGGGATGCGCCTTCTCTTGGTTCTTTTTCCACCTGTTGACTATTCCTAGCCTTCCTTTGTTGTTTATCAGTCTGCCCACCTCTGCAGGTTAGGGTGTCAGGGCTCATTTCTTGTACTCCCTCTTAATCCACATCCACTCCCAAGGTTTTTAATATCCTCTACACTGATGTATTTTCAATGTTGTGTTATATCTCTAGCCCACATATCTAAACTCTAGACTCTAACTGTCTACTTAATGTCTCCATTAGAAAGGTAAAAGGTATAGCAAATTTAATATTCCCCAAATCAAACTTTTATGTCCCAGCCTGTCCCCAGCCTCCTCCTCTCTGTAAGTGTTTCACCATTCTTGTTTTTGTTCAGGACAAAATGCTTGGGCATGGATTTATGCAAACATCTATCTGTTGTCCTCTTTGCAGACTTTTCTAACATAATAACCATAATGATCCTTTTGAGATCCAGTGAACGATTTGACCAGACTTCCTGTGACTTTCTATTAAACCCGGAACAAAAGCCAAAATCCTTAAAAACAGTCCCAAAGACCCTGTAATCTAGCCTGTTTTCTTCTCTCCTCACCTCTCATCATTTCCACCTTTACTCATTACCCTTGAGCCACACTGGCCCACCTGATACTCCGCAAATGTATCAAACATGTTCCAGCCTAATGACCTTTGTACTTTCTTGTCTCTTTTCCTAAGATCTTTTCTCCGCAGGTAGTCATGGCTGGCTTGCTCATTTCCTAAAGTCTCTACTGAAATGTCGCTCTAGCAGAGTGAGGTTTCACTGACCATCCTGGGTAAAATAGCACCTCTTGCTCTAGGCACACCCCACCCCCAGCTTCCATCAGCATCCTTCCCCTTCTTCCTCTGCTTATTTTGTCTGCATGGCATGTACTACCACTTGACATTATTTATTTGCTACTTTATTTGATCTCTCCCCACTACTGTGTCATTGTAATTATTTTCTCTTCTCCCTTCTCAAATGTGTCCTTTCTTCTGGAATGTGCTACATAAGGGCAGGTCTGTATTTTGTTCAGTGCTCTATCCCTGGTGCCTAGTATGGGATCTGGCATGGGGGGAGAGTGGGGAAGCATTAATCAAATGTTTGTGAGATGAGTGAATGAATGAAATATATATGCGAGGGCCTCATTTAGAGGGATGACAGAGAGGTACTCAGCAAATGATAGGTATAATTATGAGTAAAGCATTTATTTACTTGAGTACTAATTTCCCTGTCAGTTTGATTCACGGCAAGCCACCAAGATAGCTCTTTGAATATTTATAGTTATATATTGTTTCTTGCTTTAAAGCAAATCTTTATGTTTTTTTTAAAAGTGTTTTTAATCTGATATTTCTTGAACTCTCTCTCTAGGCCAGGGCCCATGCTCTTAACCAGTGAGCCAGACTGTTTCCCGTGTTTGCAGAGGGGAGATAAGTGGCTCTCAAGATTCTCTAGCCTCTCGGGCAACTTCTATAAAGAATGTTTTTCATCTGGGTGGGATTAGGGAGGAGGTGGCTCAGGGCAAGAGTGATTTGCGGAGAATATTTCTATCCACTGGTTTGGGAGAGAACGAGGAGAGGGCAGAGGAGGCTCATCTGCTCAAGAAATGGCCTGATCTTTAGTTATGTCTAGTTTTTAGGTTCAAGTGAAGGGTTATATGGTTTTTCATCCTTTTATCCAAGCATTTCTTAAGCCTCCGTTGTATGCTTTGGTAGTTTAGGCTGTGGGAATACAAGATGGATATAGACCTTGCCTGGAAGAGCTCACAAACTATCAGGGACTGGTGGGTAAGACAGTAATTATAAAATAACCTCATACCCATCATTGTCCTAACAGCTTTGATTATGGAGTATCCTTTAATTCTCAAAATAATTCTATGAGATTTGGAGCTATTGCCTCCATTTTACAGATAAACTGAGGCTTCAGGAAGTTCTTTAATTTGCTGCAGTCACCAGCAAGTAAGTGGCAGAGTCTGAATGACTCTAAAGCTCCTATTCTTTTTTTAAATGGCATTTTATTTTATTATTTCAAGTATATAGTACCTTGGTTAGACATTTCCCCCTGAAATAATCTCCCCTGACTGTGTCTTCCCTCTGCCTCTCCATCTAGCCACTACATTCCCTATGCCATGCTTCTCATCCCTGTGACCATCTATCAGCTACTAATTTGTACTACTTTAACCCTTCACCCCTTTCTCCTAGTTCCCTCCCCCCACTATCACCAGATTGTCTTCTATATTTGTGAGTCTGTTTTCGATTAGTTTATTCTTTTCGTTCCTTAGGTTCTGCATATAAGTGAAATCACATGGTATTTATCTTCGACTTATTTTACTCAGCATAGTAACCTCTAGGTCCATCCATGTCATAGCAAATGGTAAGATTTCATGCTGAGTAATATTCCATTGTATATATGAACCATAACTTCTTTATCCAATCGTCTGTTAATGGGCATTTTGGTTGCTTCCATGTTTTGGCTATTGCAAATACTGCTGCTATGAACATAGAGATGCATAGATCTTTTAGAATTATGGTTTTGGGTTTTTTTTTTTTGATAAATACCCAGAAGTGCAATTCCTGAGTCAAAAGGTAGATCTACTTTTAATTTTTTGAGGAACCTCCAGACTGTTTTCCATAGTGGCTGTACCAATTTGCAATCCCACCAATAGTGTATGAGGGTTCCCTTTTCTCCACATCCTCGCCAACACTTGTTATTTTTTGATTTATTGATGATAGCCATTCTGACAAGTGTGAGGTGATAGCTCATTGTGGTTTTAATTTGCATTTCTCTGATGATTAGCAACCTTGAGCATGTTTTCATATGTCTTATTGGCCATCTGTATTCTTTGGAGAAATATTTATTCAGATCTGCCCATTTTTTAATTAGATTGATTTGTTGTTGTTAAGTTGTATGGGTTCTTTATATATTTTAGATATTAACTCTTTATCAAATGTATCATAAGCGATTACCATCTCCCATTCAGTAGGTTGTCTTTTTGTTTTGTTGATGGTTTCCTTTGCTGTGCAAAAACTTTATAGTTTGATGTAGTCCCATTTATTTTTTCTTTGTATCCCTTGCCTGAGGAGATATATCTGAAAAGAAATTACTAGCAGCAATATCAGAGAGTTTACTTCCTAAGTTTTCTTCTAGAAGTTTTATGGTTTCAGGTCTTACATTTAAGTCTTTAATCCATTTTGCATCTATTCCTGTATACGGTGTAAGAAGGTGGTCCACTTTCATTTTTTTTGCATGTATCTGTCCAATTTTCCCAATACCACTTACTAAAGAGACTCTCTTTACCCCATTGTATACTCTTGTCTCCTTTGTCATATATTAAATAAGTGTATAGATGTGAATTTATTTCTGGGTTCTCTAGTCCGTTCTATTGATCAATGTATCTGTTTTTATGCCAGTACCATGCTATTTGGATTATCGTAGTCTTGTAGTATATCAGGTAGTATATCAGGTAGTGTGATACCTCCAACTTTGTTCTTCTTTCTCAAGATTGCTGTGGCTATTTGGGGTTTTTTATGGCCTCATATAAATTTTAGGATAATTTGTTCTGGTTCTCTGAAAAGTGCCATTGGTATTTTGATAGGGATTGCATTGAATCTATAGATTGCTTTGGCAAGTATGGCCGTTTTAATGATGTTGATTCTTCCTTCTCATGAGCATAGTATATGTAAAGCTCCAATGCTTTACCGTTGCAGGGAGCAGGTTTCTCAGGCCCAGGTGTCACCTCCTTGATCCCCGGGCGCGAGTGGGATGGTTTCAAGAGTATCTGGTCTCAGTTTGTGAATAAAGAAAGTGACTTCAGGTACTGAAAGCCAGCCTCTCTAGGATTTGGGGTTCATAGTCGCAGGCACAGTGAAGTGAACTAGCAGAACCCCACAGGAGCCCTGCATACAGACTGCCTCTTGAATCACTAAATAGGTTTCTAGAATGGAGAACTGAAACTCAAAGGCTATATTTGTCTCCATAAAACATACTAGACTGAGAAGATTGCCTTATTAACTCTTTCCTCTTTTCTTTCCTTTAGCCAGGTGATTTGCTGTACTTCCCCAGAGGGACCATCCATCAAGCAGACACTCCTCCGGGGCTGGCCCACTCTACGCACGTGACCATCAGCACCTACCAGAACAAGTAAGCCCTCTGCCGGCCAGCCTGGTGTCCTAGGACAGCTCTGTGCTGTGGCCCACAGCAGCTGCATTCAGGAGGGATGTGAGTGAGTTGGCCATTATCCTTCCACTTAACCAACCTCCAGGGTTTCAGGCTCCTTGCAGGCTTCATATTCCTTTAGTGTCCTATCTGTGCCATTGGTCCATCTGGGCTTTCTCCTGGGAATGTCGTGAACCTGACTATATAACTCTGAGAGTTTCTCAATTTAAGGCTACCAGAGTTTGCAGAGAAGGAACCATAGCTGCAGGTTTGGCAGTGTGTTAGTGATGCCAGGCTGGGCTTATAGTGCATGTCTCTGTCTACAATATTTTTATTGTTATAAAATATATAGCATAGAATATGCTATTTTAACTGTTTTTAAGTGTATAATTTAGTGACATTAATTACATTCATACTGTTAAGCAACCATCACCACTGTTTCTGAAACATTTTCATCACCCTAAACAAAGTCTGTAACCGTTGAAACCTCTGGGTCTTTTTTAAGGTTTCCGTGTTTTTACAGTCCATGAAATTAAAGCAGGCAAGGCAGTCTGGGACAGTCAGACCTAAGTACATTTGCTGAAAACAGTGAAAACCATGTTCCATTTTGGCAAGAGCCTCGTCACATGACAGGAACTGGGCAGTAGCAGATTGTGATTTCCTAATAGCAGTGACCTTGCAGTTCAGATCGCTTTAAAGCACCAGCCATTCATTTATTCAGCACGCAGGCACTAGATCCTGTGCCAATTTCTGGATGCTAAGGGGCTTTGAGAGAACTTACACTCTGGAAGTGGTAGTAGGAGGGAGATAGGTGTGCAAGTAGTTACTAAACTGTGACAAATTCAATTGTAGATTTTCAGACAAGACTCTTGGAGCATAGAGGAATGCACTTAGCAAAGCTGGGACATCAGGGAAGGCCTCAGAAATGACACCCAAGCTCTGTGAGAGTTAAATGACAAGAAGGTCAGAGTAGAAGGTGGGTCAGAAGATCAGAGTAGAAGAGGATGTTCCAGGTCCGAGGGACAGCAAGTTCCCTACCTTCAAAGCCATAGCAAGTTTGTAAGCATACCTCTGCTTGCTCGTCTGGCTTTTCAGCCTGAAGTTAACCGGTGTTTAAGAGACTAGAGGAGCTAGCTGGAGCCCAGCCTGAAGTTGGAGTTGTCTTTGCCCACACGCACAAGTAGAAGGCCAGTGCTTGTTTTAGGCTTCCTTTATGAAAAATGCCTTCGTTGTTATGTTTGGGTTCCTTGCATAGTGAGGAATGGAAAGTCACTGAGGCCCACCTCAGGAAGAGCAGGGGCAATTGAGGGCATGGGTTGTAGGAACTGGAGAAGGGCTGTTGAGAGATGTGCATGTGTCCTCCAGGTTGAAGTTCAACCGAAGGTGTGAGGTTAGGTGTAACATTAAGTTGCAGAGTGGTAAGGCCACCAGGTAGTAGTGGACGTCTTGGAGGAAGTGCTCTCCTTTGCCACTTTCCGGAGAGGGAAGCATGAAAGTGTTAATTTTGCTTACTAATTTGAGAAGGGTAAAAATCATGCTGTGAATTTCTGTTTTGCACATAGCTGGCAATTTGAAATCCACTGGTGACACAGGAAAATTTTAAATAGCTAAGAAATGTTTAAAGAGAGAAACCCCACGGTGTTTCACACATTGGCACATATTTAGGAGTGAGCCAATTCCAAATGCCTCCAAGAAAGCAAAGGTAATTGAACAGCAATGCACATCCCTACATGTTATCTTTGGCCTCTGGCTTCTACCTTCTACCCCAGTAAAACCATCACTAGAGTTTAACAAAATGCAAGATCAATTGTTTTGAAATTGATGTTGATGGATATTTTACTGAGGGAGAGTGCTCTCTTATATGTACCTTTTTTATGTATATCTGTTCAGATAATTACAGTCCAAGGATCTTGCCGTTACCCTAAATATGTTGCTTTTGTATCTTTTGCACATAAAATTTATTTTTTGGTCCTATAATGACTGAGTTAAAATTTTCTACAAAGCTGTCCTCATAAATACTGTATTACAGTTGAAAACCTTTTTAAAAAATTGGTCCCTTAAACTTCCTGCTTAATGAGAGTATGTGATTCTCTGCTATCTTTAAGAGAAAAACCATGAATAAAGCCTTGCTTCCCATTTTTAACTTTCCATGTGAGTGTCTGCAAGTGGGGAGGGAGGGAAGCAGTATGATTGATTAAGCTCTTACGTTTTTGTGCTGAGTAACGTAAAACTATTAGAACTCAAAATACGTGGGCAGGGGAGTTGGAATGCTATGGAAGCTTCCATTCATAGCATTTGGTTTTACTAGTACTCAGTGTTTTCTGTATATTTTTTATGCATTCACTATTTTTTTTTTCCTCGGTGTGTGTTCCAGTTCATGGGGAGATTTCCTTTTGGACACCATTTCGGGGCTTGTGTTTGATACTGCAAAGGAAGACTTGGCGTTCCGAGCCGGCATCCCCCGGCAGCTTCTCCTGGTAAGGAGTAAAGATGGGTGGGAAAAGAGTAGGACCCGTAACCTGGGCCAGCTTGAAGCTGTGGTCTACATCCTAGGGACCCCATGGTTCTTCCCATCTTCTCTCCTGTGTTCACCAGCTGAGCTGATGGCTTGCAGAATGAATGGAGTCCAGCATGTTATGTGCGACCCAGAAAACTGAGGGTGTGGTGCAAATGGCTGTCTTTCTGAATCTCATGGTGGCAGAAGCGGGCACTGTAGGAATGTTGGCTGAGTGAATGGTTGGATAAATAATGTGGCTGGGAGAACTGTAGATTCGTCACACACGATTATTAGTTAGGAGAGGCTCACTGGAGATCCTGATCGTGGCATATTACCTGGCTTTCTTGTCTGTCCTGGTTTTACATTTGAAACAGCAGCACTGTGTGGCTAGATTTGAGAAGGTGAATGAATTAGTGCTGAGTCGAACAAGGTTGCCGTCACTGTCTGAAACAGTCACCTTAGGTTGGTGACTTGCTTTCCAAAAGGCAAGAGCTGAGACTGTACATTTCCAGGGATCCCTTTCCAGGCAAAATCCTGAAAATTGATCTTTTTTTTTTTTTTGACAAACAATAGGCAGCTTAAGATACGCAGAAGTTACAAAGAAATAATGGGATATCGTTTTTAAGCCTCCTCAAACCCCACCTCCTGGGAGTGACATGGATCTGTCACTGTGTGGTTGTGCTCAGCAGACTACTCTGGAGACTGGGACCTAGACAGTAAGTTCTGCTGGAGTCTGCACCAGAACTTACCTCTGTGTTTCTAGCAGGTGGAAACCACAGCTGTTGCAACAAGAAGATTAAGTGCTTTTCTGAGGACGCTTGCAGACCGGTTGGAAGGCACCAGTGAGCTGCTTTCAGCAGACATGAAGAAGGATTTTGTTATGAATAGACTCCCACCGTACTGTGTGGGAGACGGAGCAGAGCTTTCAACACCAGGTGGAGCTTGCCATCTTCTAGGTGGTTAGGGGCTAACGTGGGGTATTTGGAAGCTTTCCTGGGTGGCCACTTCTTTGAGCAGATGGAACATTGAGGCATTTTAGAATTAATGTGGAGCTGGAACTGTCTCTGGTGTGTTATGGTTGGACAACGCGTACTGCACACAACTTTAGGATTCTGCATTTGCAAATCATTTGCAAAGACCTTGCATCCCAGCATGATGGGAATGAGAGTCCTGTGATTTGGGGTGAGAAAACTGTATAAATAGGTACTGTGGTATTCACTGTCTTATGGAAGTTTTAGGAACTTGAACACTAAAATAACCTCGTTGGAATTAACAAAGGGATGAGTAAAATGTTGCCATCAGCAGGTGACATACAGGACTGCCCAAGGTTATCACCAACCTCCCCCAAGTCCCAGGTGACTATTTTGTGACAGGTTTAGGCTGCAGATGACATAAAATACTTCTGGGTAGATGGTGATTTTGATGTCCTATAGCAAAGACTAGCAACACCACACTCCTGTAGTGCACACCACTGGGAACTATGGGGCATCTCGGTAAAAGGGTGTTGAAAAGGATTTATAGGATCTGGCCTTGAGTTAGGTGATTTTCTGGAGGATTCAAGGAAGCGGGGCTTTGCTCTGGGTTGGATGCTTTCAGAAAGCAGGGATTCTGTAACTGGGTCTCTTGTACATCTTATCTAGTAGCAGGAGGGATGGAATGAGGCTGAACTTATAACTGGTAATGCAGCAGCAGTCACTCAGGTTTAGCCAGGGTGGGGGCTATTAGGTCACTTCTGCAGTTTGGATAATGTTCTTTTACTTGAGTTCTGACATGGTTATGGAGTGGTCTGGTTTTTCTCTTGATCTCAGTCATAGTGTGGCCTTGTTTAATATTGGCATTCTATGGAATTGTCTGATGTTCCATAGGAGATCACCGAGACAGCTATGAGTGCCAGGCCAGCTTTCTTTCTCAGGAGGGTTGAGAAAACCTTATGTATCACCAGTTGAGAGCCACTGAATCCTTTCTAACATGGATTCTATTTATATTTTTATTCTATCTTTGGGGGAAGTTGAGGATTTGTTTTTGACTGTATCTATTCAAAATAGCAAATGTTCTACCAGCATATATTTTAATCTTTAACAGAATAGTTTTTGGAGTATCAATTAATGGCCCAGAGTATTTATCTCAAATTTTCCTTGTTTTAGTCATTATAGTCAATAAATCTATGATCTGTCAAGACTTTTTCAACCAGATGACCCTGTAAAGCTGGTCTGTTTGTACTGTTTTCAGTGAAGTTTTTTTTTTTTTCCCCCTGTGAACTTTACTAGGTGGCTTGTATGTTACACTATGCTTGACCTACATAGATTGAATAATTTGCCATGATCACACCATTAGTCATTGGTATGGTGGTGCAGTTTGAACTCAGGTATTCTTTCTAGAGTCTATGTGTAAAGCAAGAAGCAAGAGGATAGAAACTGGAGACAGGCTCTATGCAGAAGGACAGGAGCCCTGCCTCTATTTTGATAGGTACCTACATTTCAAAGGTATTTATGTCTATTTAATGTACTTGCCAACTCCTTTTGTTATTTATCTAATGGTATGTCTGTCTTTGCTATGAGAATGGGCTCCATAAGGATGTAAACTATACTTTAATGTCACTATAAATGTCAAGGTAAACAAGTACTTGAGTTGGAGAGGGTGCCTCATGTTTAGATTCACTACAAATTGTAGGTAAATGTATTTCTTAAATAGTTATACCTGCAAACCAGTTAGAGCCTGCTGGTTTCCACTTTTGAACACTGGCTTTCTCTCTGGGTTTTCTAGGTGGACAGTTACCAAGGTTGGACAGCACAGTGAGGCTGCAATTTAAAGACCACATCGTCCTCACACTGGGGCCAGATCAGGATCGATCTGTGAGTATCCAGAGGAAAGAGGGTTCCTCTCCCCTCAGGGTACTTCCATCAGGTTATCGGACCAACACATGGCCCCTGCCCTTCTCCTTTGGGAATCCATCTATTCTCACAGCTTAATGCCATCACATTAGAGCAGATAGTGCCCAAATCTCACTGTTCCTGTTGCAGATTTTCCTGCCTGTTGGGCACTTGAGAGCTTGCCCTCATCCCTCACAGAATCACTTTTCATTCCCCTCATGCAGTGATTGTCTTTGCCTCCCATTCTAATTCAGGCCACATTGCTCAGACAACTGCACACACCCTGTTCATGCATCTCCCTCAGTCCCTCTCCCACCCTGTACAGTGTGTAGATGTGTCTTTACATATGGTTTTATTGATGTTTCGTCTTTAAAAATCTCTATCCCACAGGAAGATGGTCTACATTTCATAACACTGCCACCTAGCCCAGTAGTTCCCAAAACTGGCTTATTGTAGAATCAGCTGGAAAATTTTAAAGATATTATACATTTCTGGGTTTCATCTGGTCTGTGTTGGAGCCTCTGCCTTTATTATTAAAGCTCCCTGTACAGTCCTAAGGACCTTGGGAACTATCCCGTGCCCTGTGGCTTTACCCTGTTCCCACCAATCAGCTTTCTTGGGGAGGTACCCCATGCATCGTTGGAGGAGATGCAGGTTAGGGCACCAAGATGCTTTCATAACCAGACTGTTCCAGTCATTAGGGCCAGACCTGGTGAGAACTGGTTTGCAATATATGCAAACCTCAAAAGTACTTATCTCCATTAAAAGTACTTATCTCCATTAAAAGAAATCTTAGTTACTCTGATAATCAGTTTTGGGATATTCTGCATCGGGCCAAGGTGTTTGATCCTTATTAAGAGGTGACAGGGAATGAATAACACTTCTAGAAGTGGCAAACTGCATTATGTAGGGTGGAGAGGGAAGGGAAGTAGAGGCCGTTCGGGAGGCTACTGTAATCGGAGTGAAAATTTTTAGAGATCACAGTGGTATTTCTTGAGGTAATATTCACTCCATGGTATTCATAAATTGTTAATTTATACCTAGGAATGTCAGATTTGATGCAAAGTACAGGTGTGATTAAATGAAGACTTGAGTGTTAAGTTGATACATGAATGGTTGCTTTTCATTAAAGCAAGTTTTCGAAGATACTGATGCAGGTATACTGTTTTATCTTTAAAAAAGTGACTAAAGGTGACTATTTGTTACATACCAATAGTAATCTGTGAGGACTATAATGAAGCCCTTGATATTTTGTTGATGACTTGATTTTTTTTTTAAAGGATGAAACTCAGGAAAAGATGGTTTACATCTACCATTCTTTAAAGAATAGGAGAGAGAAACACATGATGGGAAATGAGGAAACAGAGGTTTGTGCCAACCTAAAATGTTTTTCCTGTTATTTGGTGGTGGTTAGGAAGCATTCTTTTACCTTTGATCTGTGTGCTTTTTTATGAGTGCAGTATGGGCTTAACATTTCATGTAATTGACAGAACTCCCGCACCAGGACGATTGATAGACACACACAGACCAGCTTTAAAAGATAGTAGCTGAGACGTGTAGCCTTGTAGGAAAGGTGTAATGAGAATCATTTAAATCGGGATGCCTTTCATGATATTTAAGTTTTCATGTGGGAATTGGCAAATTCTGTAAGTTATCTGAAACAAGTTTCATACTTATGAAGGTATCAAAAATGATATATTGAGAATTTTGGAAGTTTATATGACAATGCCACTTAAGAGATTATTTTATCTGACGAGATTTTCCTTTTTCAGTCTTATGGACTTCGCTTTCCTTTATCTCATGTTGATGCACTGAAGCAGATTTGGAACAGTTCAGCTATTTCTGTCAAGGACCTGAGACTTACTACGGATGAGGAAAAGGAAAGCCTGGTGTTATCCCTTTGGACAGAATGTTTAATCCAGGTAGTCTAGTGCATTTATAGAATCGAGTGTCTACTACTTTATATATACATGTGACAAGAGAAGATTTACGTGCTAGGGAGCCCCCCAGCACATAGACTGGGTAGGAAGAACAGTTCTGTACAACTTTCCTTTTGTGTGTCTCTACTAACACAAGACCTGCCTCTTATAGGTGGTCATGGAAGAATGGCAAATTAATGTGACAAAACCATATTTCGGACAAGTTTATTTAATCCAGTGTGGTAGAAAAGGCACAACTACAATAAATTTAAATGTCAGTGTCGTTACCTTGCTTTGTCTTTGGAAGAAACTTCTTTAAAGAGCCTCACTGGCTCTAGAAAAATTTTCAACAATTAACGTGAAGAAAAAAAATTACTTTTTTAAAGAAAATATACATACTTTTGTGTAAACACCCCCCCTCCCCCTTTAAAATACTCCTGTAAGTTTCATTAAATAATACTGCCACACTAATGAGAGGCACTCACATCTATGGACATATGAGAATTTTGCAGATGCTTGAAAGATGACAAAAGAGCCTGAGATTGAAGGGAAAAAAACCTAATATTTACATGGAAAGACCCAAGTCTCTATAAAAACTCAAAATAGTTGGTCTTTGAGCTTAAACAATTTAGTTATTTTAAAGTGCATATAGGTTGATATTTTTAAAAATACCCCTGGAGAACTTAATCTTTCTATATAAAAATAGAATAGACATTTTTCTGCTTTCCGGCAAAAGTTGAAGATGAAGGGAAGTTTCCTCAATATGTTTAAAACCAATTCAGGAGGGAAGAATGCTTGTGAATTGTACAGTTAAAAGTGGTAATGATTACTTGAAACTAAGTCCAAGAGAATATCCTACCTGATTTTGCTTAAATGGAAGCTATTTAAAATAGTAAAAAACAATGAGTTTTCTGTCATTTCAGAGAGAAATCGACTCCACCTTTAAAGTGAAATGGTATATAGTCAAGGCTCAAATACTATGTGGTTTTAATCTGAACATTTGAAATTGCCCTTCAAGCAAAGAAAAATTTGTCTAATATGCAGGTGCCACAGTCTTTACAAACACTTCTTGAGGGCAGATCAGGCAAAATCTAGGGTGGGGTCTCCAGTAAGAGTGCAAGGATGGCCACAGGTTATTTGTGCTTTTTTAGTTTGAAAGGCTGAGCAAAGAATGGCTACAGAAAATACTCCTGTACTTGAGCCTTTTCCTAATAAAGCTGAGGTCTCTTCCTGGGGTCAGTTACAAGTATAAATGCTCAGGGTGCTTCAGTTATAAAAGTCTCAATAGAGGACCTTTGTTGTAGCTACTGTAGCATATTAAGAGGAAGGTTTATTTAATCTGTCTTCAAATGTTGCTAAAAGATTCATCTTTTTGCAAAAGTATGAGTTGACATATAGGAATTCATTTCCCTGTGTGTTACACTCATACATGCATCTACTAGTATATTAATAACTAATATAGGATGATAGCACCACCAATGTCCTATATAATGGCTATCAGGAATAGGATTCATATTTGAGAGACAGAGAAAGACTTCAGTAAACTTGCTCACCAAAACTGGAGCTCAAGCAGGAGTAGAATCTTTCCCAGAAATCAAGACATATTTATGACAGGAACACTGAATAATTGGCAAGAATATTTTGAGCTTTTCCCATGGTTAACAGCAATAGTCTTGTCTTGGAACTTTGGAAAAAAATGTATTCATTCTCAGTGATCCAGGTGCATGAGGACAAGTAGCTTCCTTTCCGTGGGACGTGAGGTTCCTTCTTCCTTTGCTCTTCCTAGGGATGCTGTAGATTCTCTCACAATATCTCAATGTCCCATTTCTGTGTTTCTTCTCCCTCCAAGGGATGATTTACAATTACATGAGTCTTGTCATAATAATTTCCTCCTAAAATAGAAATTCCAAAACAAAAGATTATTTGTTCACACAGGTGCTTAACAGTTTCCACAAGCTTTTGTTCAGCCCATTGTTTCGGTAGATTAGTATGTCATTTACAGAGCGGTCTGAAATGGGAAACTGAGTTTAAACAGGCTTAGCTATTATTCACCTCACATCAGACCTTATTATGACTCAAACTGAACAACTAAGAGGTATAATAGATGATTGCATAGGCAGTGTGCCCTTACAATGCAAGTCTTAAGAACAAAGTGCTCTGAGAGCTCTGGCTGAATGTCAGGTACTGTATTTTTGTTTCTACACCAACAGTGGCTATGACTAACCCAATGAAAGCAAAAGCCCTGAATAATATTGGCCCTGACCTTGCTGCATTCAAAAACAAGGTTAAATACCTACCAGAAGTTTTAACTGAGGGCTTTGAAGGACTACAGTAATTCATGGCAAAAAGAGAGATGTTTCTAAAAAACATTTTATGGTTTCATGTTCAAATTTAAAATTGTTCTCAAAGATCATGTAGCAAATAATTTTACAACTGTACTAATGAACAAAAATCTTAGATTTTTTCCTAAGGCCTTCTCTGCTTGACCCACATAGATAATTGTTTTATTAAACAGCATAACTTTTTTCAAGCATAATTAAAAATGACATAATATTTCTTATATGTAAGGATTTCTTTTATCCAGAAGGAAGAGGTTTCGAAATAAAAATGGTATCCAGAAACAACACATTGGGTTTCATCACAGGCTCACCTGTAACGTCAAGAACAAGTTGGTCACTGAGATAGGAGCTGATGGTTCCATTTCTGTTCAGTCTCCACTTCTGCCTGAATTGTCCATGTTCGGTCCACAGGGCTACTTTAGCTCCTGGCACGTCCCGGCCACCAATTACATCGAGACATGTATCACTGGCCTACGAGGATTAAGAAATACATTGGTAGTACTGTGTTTGCTAAAATGAATTGAGTCCCTTTTCTTTCATGGGAAAAAAATCATAGATATGAAATCATTATGCCTTATCTAAACAGAATACTATACAGCATAATTATAATTTCAGTAAGCTTTTTTTAAAATGGTTGAGAGAAAATGGTACAGAAATAAACCTGAAATAGATACTTATTTTTAAAAGACACATATCTGACAACAGGCGTTCAATAAGGTTTCTTGAATTGGAATTAAATGTTAAGTCCCTGTTAGCTTAAATGTGTTAGGTTGAACTTAGTATTCTTATAAAAACATTGGGTGATGTAGTAGATATCTGACAATAATTACTTTTGTTGAAGCATGAGAAAAAGGTAGATAATCCATTGGTGAGACAATAAAACAGCTGCAGTGTTTTCAAGCTGGTGTTCTAGTCTCCATAGCATCAAACATAATAGAGGTCACAGAAACTAAATTTTATTTTCTAGGCTTTCTTCAATATAGCTTCCTTCTATTACTTACTTCATTGTGTATTTTGAAAAGTAGAAGTTTTCACCATGTTTAGAATCACAAAAGACAGCTGATTTTATCTGGACTGGAAAGGAACTTCTTACCAAAAGAACACACTGTCCAGTCTAGATCCAGTGGTTTTTATCATTGCTTCTAAAAAAATCATTTAGGCATATCCACAATATGTTATCACCTTAGTTTTTACTATAAAATAGAAAGTGGATTTTCTAGAATGAAAAATTCTCTGAAGTGTAGTACACTTAAATGCTTTAGTAATAGACATACCAGTATTTATATAATCATGCAATAAACTTTCTAGGCAAGCTGCATTACTTTCTCATGCCATTTGATTTCACAAGATTCTGGTTTACAAAAGAAAAAGCCAAAAACCAAAAAGTAGGGTCAGGTGTCAGGTTGGTTACCTTGGATTTAAAGAGTCCTCGACAGTAGTGCCAGATCTGAGTATTCTTTCCACTATAGGGAGAAATGCACACAGATGTTGTCCTTGTGTCAGCTACATTTCCAGTGACTGTAAGATATTCATTCTGGGCTCGGTTCTTTATTCTAATGTACACTGCAGGCTACAATAGGGAGAAACAAAGAAATTTAGGAAAAAAAAATTTTGAATCTGGCAATCAGTCCTTCCAAAAAAGGAAAACAAACGAGGGGAAGTGAGACATGACATGGTGGAATTTATTTTTTATCTCTTTCCATCTTATTCCCTTTAGCAAATATGTATAAATTTTCTATTGACAGATCCTTAGACCACTGAACACAAAGCTTAAATTATACAATCTCTATTATATTTTTCTGAAAAAGGCCCTTTGGAAGAGTAAAGGAAACACTTTCACTAGAACTCCCATGTGGTACAGGGCAGTGAAGAATTAGGGACTTGATGAGTTTAATCAGTAACTACTGTGCCCTAGCTATGCTCTGGGAGGCAGGAGAGTAGGAATAAGGGCAAGGTACTACCAACAGCAACTTAGCAAAGACAGTACAGTAATGAGACTGTCTTGAGCTATGATTGCCAAATGACTGTGACTGGAGGTCACTGAGGACCCTAGTAGCTGTGGTGGTGACATTTACACTTTGCTGACCTTTATACTTCTTCAAAAGAGACCTTCCATGTTTATTCTTCACTACTTAGGTATTCAAAGATTGGGACTTCACCGCCGGACTTGGAATATATACAGGAAGTTTTAAAGTATTAAAATCTAGTACTTGCCTCTATGTATTTAATTAATATTTATCGAAAGCTTAGTATATGTCAAACACTGTGCTAAATGCTTTCTGGGCCACTGTATTACCTGTCAGAATAACCAGAACAACTCTTTAAGAAAGTACAATTATGACTTGAATTTTATAAATAAGTTTATTTGGAGAAACAAGGTTTGTCTTCACCAAAACCCTTCCTCTTAACCAGGAAGCTCTAAGGTCTGTGCTGAATGCACTAGTTACTCTTAGACACATGGAATAACAGACCAATTCCAAAGGTGCCAGTGTGAATTAAGATAACAAAAGGACAACACATGATTCAAGCCCCACAGAAACTGTTCTTTCAGTCCCGTGATTTGGGGCTCAAGTCTTAATATAGTAAAATACAGGACACCTGAAACCCCCACCTTGGGTCAGGTGTTGACATCCCAATTAGAACCTTGTTTAATAATAACAAATGGTCTGTTATTTAATAAGAGAATACTTCACTTGGAGAAACTGAAGTGCTAAGTAAATGCAACAAGGTATCATGGTAAGATCAACAATGACTCTTCTACAATTTTTAAACATAATATCACCAGGAGGCCAAGCTGAACTTTGGTAGACTGCTGCCATGGTTATTAGCCTTCCTAATGAAATAAACAATGGACAAATTTTTATCGGGTCACTGAAAGGCAAATGTTTTAAATGTTTCCAATCACAACTTCTGCATTCATAATGCAACAGTAATGTACTTAAATTTCTATAACTCATCGTGGTCTCCCACTGCAATTATAAATTGTTGAGGCTTCAGTCTACGGCCTTGCTACCCTGAACAAGCCCGATCCTGCCTGATCTCGGAAGCTAAGCAGGTTTGGGCCTGGTTAGTACTTGGATGGGAGACCATCTAGGACGACCAGGTGCTGCAGGCATAAAAAATAAAAAAAATGAAGGATAGTAAACTGACAAGGTCCTTGGAATCTGTGAGGTCAACCAAGAGTTGTCTCGCCTATATCTTTATTAGTTTCCTTACCTTTTACATATAAGGAATCAGGTGTGACCTTCAAAGGACAGAGTTCCAATTATGTTAGAAACAAACATCAGTTTTAATCAATTAACTCAAGCAAGGTACTAATTACCCTTACTACACACTTGTAGTCTGAAATCCTCTGTAATTATACTTTAAAACACTGATATGCATAAGTACCTTAGTGACTTCCTAATTCCCAACCTCAGAGAGAATTACATTTTATTTAAATGAATTTCTAGATAAGAATATGAACTAAAGCAGTACCAACAGACTTAACAAAAAGGAATTATGACCTATAATACTGTTTTAGAAACCCGGCATTGATTTGCTGGATTTCAAAGCTGCGGCCTAAATAAACAACAGGGAAAATAATCCCTGTTAAAATACTATTCTGTAATTAAATTTTTAACCAGAATAGGAATCAGGTAGTTCCTAAAGCATAATGCAATAAGAACAACACATATAATGTTGTCAAAAAACTATGTAAAATTAGAGGCTCTTGTTCTAGCTATCTTTTATTCTCAGGACCCTGAACAATGGGCAGGGACATCCTTCCCCAGCAAGGAACCCCTTTCAAAAGTGAGAGAAATATTCTCTGGGTCCAACTTGGCTTCTGAAGTTTCTCATACAGGATTAAGCATTACTATATAGTTGGTAAAAGCTACACGGCAAAGCCAAAATTGCCACTTCTACCTTGTTTTTTGCCATGGCTTTTCAAGTGGGATTCCCCATCATCCCATGTGACAAGAATGAGGAATAAGCAAGATGTGAAGGTCGTGAAATCTTGTACCACAGTCTGTCAGGAAAGCCCACTAATGTTTAGTATCCCTCAGAAGAGCATCTCTGATTCTCTCCAGGGACACTGTGAATAGTAAACTTTCAAAATAAATGTTACCATAGTAATATGAGCCAGATGTCGTGTCAGGCTCTTTACATATTTTATTATCTTATTTAATCCTCACAATAATTCTGAGAGGTAAGCAAAGCACTTTTCACCAGTAATGATTCTGAGGTGCCAAGAAATGATGTGATTCATCCATAGTCACACTGTTTACAAGTGGGAGAACTAGGATTTGAACCAACAGAACAGTAGTGGGAATGAGGGGAGAAGGGGAGTGGGAGAGAGAGAGAGTATGTGTGTGTGATAGAGAGGTGGGGAGGGAGGCAGCAAGACCAGTAAGGTTAATTTTTTTATTGGCTGTCATCTACTTAGCATTCACTATGTCAGATCAGAACATCAGAACCTTAGTACTTATATCAACTATGCTACATTGAACTCAGTGCCTGGAATATATGGTGGCACTCTAAATATTTAGTTGATCTTATTTTAGAGGAAAGTAGGGTGTGGTTGCTTAAAAACATGGATTTTAGAGCATAATAGATTTGGGTTCGAATTCTAGTTCTGGCGGATTTTAGAGCATAATAGATTTGGGTTCAAATTCTAGTTCTGGCAGTTGGATGACTTGACAGTTTGCTTTACCTATCTGAGCCCACTTTTTCATCTAGAAAATGTTTTAACAACTCCTATCTTAAAGGACTACTGTTGGAATCAAGTGAGAAAAGGTTTCTAAAGGGATTAGAAGTACAAATGGCATATCCACTGACCATTGCATTGCCCCCCTGGCAGCCTAGCTTGGGTTTCCCGCCCTCCGTGAAACCTCCCACCACTCCCACACATTTCATACTTCCTTTTTCTAAACCAGGCACATTGCTTGTGGCTTTTCAATGATTACAGTTTTTCATTTTATGTTAGTTTTGAGTTGGATGTTTTATCCCCCCACCCCCCACGCCCCATGCCAAAAGTATGTTCCAATAAGGTAGAAGTGATGTCTGCCCCCTAGCTTTCATAATTCTTGGCATAATGTCAGACATTCATCCATTTTTATTTTCATTCCTTCATTAAACGAATAGTCCCTGAGCTCCTACAATGTGCCAGACATTGTGACAGGCACTGGGAGTAGAGCAATAAGCAAAATATGCACAGCCTTGCCTTTACGGGGCTTGCAACAGAGTGAGAAAACACCAAATCCAACCATGACTATAAGATTATAAATAAACCACATGCAGTGTCTTGTAGAAAAAGAACCCAGTCTTTTAGGATCTAATTTAGATTGGGAGAGACTATGAAAGAAGCATCTTGAGGACCTGACGTGTAAGCTAAATTTAAAGATGGGTAAGAATTAGCCAGGCAGAGGATGAGGAAAGAACCTTCTAGACAGAGGGCATTGCCTGTGTCAAAAGCCTGAATGGGAAAGCACTCTGCACATGTCTCAGCCACGTGAGTGAGGAAACCAGTGAGGGAGGAGCCTGCCGCAGCAGCGGGGAGCCACGTCACATGGGCCATGCTGAAGGGTTTAGATTGCATCTTACGTGCAGTGGGAAGCTTTTAAACAGAAGGCGGACAAGCAGTATGTGTGCAATAAATGTGATTTTAACTAAACTGCCAGGATCCATCCTGAGCATTATGTAAGCAGGGGAGAAAAAATCTAAATACTTAGTAAAACTAGCATCAGTCTCAAGGGTCCATTCTTGTTTCTCTTGCTTGCCGCAGAGCTCTTAACTTAATTTTCCATGAAAAGTGAACATGATCAAATATGACTCTAGGCTCAAAGCTAAAATCCAACATTGACCTTTAAAACAATTTTATGAATTGTTTAAATTCTACAGTATTTCCCATCCTAATCCACGCCCCCTGCTACATAAATGGCAAACTAAATGAAATGATCATTATTTCACATGCTGTAGTTTATGAAATTTGTACTAGAAAAGCAAGCTATTTTGGATCCTATGGTTCTTCTTACCTGCTTCATAGGACGAAGGGAACCAATTGTTTTCCACCTACTGAATGCTGTCCAGTTTGGGATCTCATTAGGCTCGAGCAGGATTTGTCTGCCCAAGAAATTGGAACCTTCATAAGCTATCCACCTATATGAGAGCAGGAAAGAAAAAAAGTGGGGATACTTCTAAACAATAGGCAATCCCTATATTATACCATATAAGGTTCATTCTTTAAAATATCTAGGTTTATAGAATTTTTAAAAAGAAAAAAGTAAGTCTATTTTTTAAGAGAAAAAGCAGGGATGACTAGGAGAAATCCCACTGGACTGGTGCTTAGATGATGTGACTTCCAGTTAGGATTCTGGTTTCCTTCCTTTCGAAACAAGGTTCCCTCCAGCTCTAAAATTCTGTGTTCATTTGATAATACTGAGTCATTTTTCTTACATTTTAATATTCAAAGATAAGCTATAACCCCTCACTGTTAAAAAACACTAGACTCTCCCACTTGAAGGCTTATCTCATGTCCTTCAGGGCCTCTCCAGGTGGCTCCAGTGACCCCTGCAGACACACATTCCACAGCTTCTCCAAGGCCACCAAAGACTACTAAAAATTATCCACAGAAATTCTGTCTTACTCTTCCATCAAGGCCTGGCTCCTTTGCAGATCCTCTCGGTACCCTGGGGGCCTTCAACTCAGGCCAAGTTAAAGTGTGTAAAAAAGTATAGGGCTTCGAGGTGTCTGGAGTCTCAATACATGGAACACATCGTGCCTGTTCTTTTATGGACTAACACTGGCTGCTTTTCCATCACCATGACAAGTTGAATAGTTGTGACAGAGATGATCCACAAACTGAAAAGACCATCTGGCCTTTTACAGAAAAAGTTTGCCAAGCCCTGCTTTAGGTGGTTATCAAGCTGGATGCCTAAGAAGCAGGGATTGCCAAGAGGATCTGAAATTCTGAGCAGGACTCAAGGTCACCTTAAACAGTGCTTTCAGAAAGTATGTGTGGAGGACAAGGTGGCTGCTTTGCTTGGCTCACACAAAGCACCGTGTTCCCCACAACTGAGATCAGGCTTGGCCAAATTATGCATGACTATGAAGAGGCTAATCTATCCATCTCTCCAGCTTTGCAGATTCTTTAAATAGGCAGAGAAGTTTCAATTATAAAACCTGAGCAAGATTTTAATAAAACTGTACCTCATTAAATATTAATCTAAATGAATTGCATAGTTGAAAAGCTGTGTGAGATGGTGCACTAAAGCATGGCCTTCATTACCATCATAGATCAGATATGGAATGATACGGGAATTAAACAAAACTTTTCACCAGGTGTAGCTAGCTAGCTGTGAATTAAATGGCATTCTATAAACCGTCTGTCGCCTAGAAAACCTTCAGACAGCCTTCACTAATCCTTACTCCATGTACCAATTCTTATAGAGAATCCAGAACAATGAAAGTAAGCAGATAATTTAAAGAAAACGAAGAAAGTCAAGGTAAAATGGCACCAATTTTCTATAAAAGAGTGAGATAAGATGGTGAGTTTATGCCATCAATAAATGATGAGTCAATAAATATCAGTTCCACTTAGGTACATGAAGAAAAGAAATGTATAAGAATGCTGTGAAAGTCTTCGCAGGGATATGAAATTCAGTTCAAACAGAGTTAAGTGGTAAATAATATACTGGAATATAACATAGGGATTACTATACTCAGAGAATACAAAATCAGTTTAATAAACACTAAAACATGTGAAATGCTTTCTGCTATACATGTGAATAATACAAAAACCATTTATTATAAGTTAATTTTCAAATCAATTTATATTCTTGGCTTTCTCTTTCATTATCTCCAGGTAGTTAAACATGCAGAGTTGATTATCACACAATTTAAGAGTTGTAAGAAATAGAAACAGCCATCTTTAAATTAATCATCGAGAGCTGTGTGTGTTCTTTTAGTTGACTTTTGGTACCAGAACACCGATAGTGCAGGAGGTGGCACAGGCTTACATGCCACTCTTCAGAAATGGTCTAAGAGGCAGATTTTCCAGGAAGCAAATTGAACCTCAGCTTCACGGCCCCTCATTTGCAAGGTTTGCAAAGCCTCTTACCATTTTTGTTTTAAATAAAAATGCAAAGTTCATACCTAATTTAGGTATCCTTGATTTATTCATTTCTTTTCTTAAAGTAGTCTCCCAGCTTATAAAAAAAAAAAAGTGCAGGCCCCACACAACCTGGATCCACTCTGACTGACTGACAACCTGAATGAACAGCAACACCGGTAGGCAGGCAAAGTCAAACCAAGATACAGCATGAAAATGAGTACTCTGGATCAAACAGCTCTAGAACAAGATGTCAAATCAAAGTACAGTAAAAACACTATCAATCTTAACAAACTGTCACTTGTCTTAAGCAGACAATGGTCTCAACCAAAACTGCTGACTTAACTAGGTTTTCCCTGAAAGTGGGCTCAACTGGTTATGGTCTTCTGGTCAACCTACTCTCGACACAGGCTCTGAACACATGGCAGCTATTCTCTCCCAAACCAAAGGGCTCTTCTCCCAGACCGGACCACTGCATACTTCTAAATACGGACATGGTCCACAGTCTTCTCTTATTTAAACAGAAACTACTATTATTACATTGAGAGATAAAAGGAGTAAGAGCACCATCAGACCACAAAAAAGCAACAATAGGGGAATAAAGAGCAACTTTGCAACGCTGTCCTCAAACAGTGGCTGAACCGGGCCAAGCCTTCCTCCCATACTTACAGTCCACTTTTTACCCACACGGACTGAGTGTAGAAGTGCAGGTCCTTGTTTAGAACAGAGTTCACGGCCTCTTCCAGATGTAACTCTCTTCCCTCACAATGTTCCAGAGCAAAAAGGCTGATGGAGGGTTCTTCAAAAATCTAACAGCACAAAAAAGAAAAAGCATCACCAAAAGGGGTGGCCACACATCAGTGTCATCCCAGGCAGTATGCAGGTGGTACCCTGGATCCACTGTATTCTCAAATGCATAGTGTTTTCTACTTCACCCTCTAAAGATGTTATAGCCAAAACTGCACTGGTGGGATCAGATTCTATTAATTTTTATTCAATTTTTGATAAATTAACAAATTTCAGAAAAACAATCTTAATCTCGTAGTAAAAATGGGCACCTGGTTCCAATCACATATTAAGGGCTGGCTGTGCTGTTAACACAGACCACATTTTGATCCTGCTAATACTTTTAGCTGGCAACAGAATGAACAGAGAATGGAATGGCACCCTCATTTGCCAGGAGGCCACATGAGGAGTCACTGAGAAGGCTGATTTTATGGCTCTAGGCTCTTAGAAACATTCCTAGGAGGGAGGAAAAGACATTTTTACTTTAACAACAATAAGCTAGAATGCGCAGAGATGGGTGATTTCTGCATTATGGGTGAGAAAATGGAAACGGAAGGAAGACAGAACTGTGCCGACCCACAAAGATAGGTGGTGGTGAGATGGGCCTGTGGAGCTGATGGAACACATGAACTAGGAGAGGCGAGCCAAAAGAGAAAACATCGTGTATGAAATAAAAGGGAAAGAAAATAAGTATTAAACACTTCGGAGACGCTGAGGAAGAGGGTGCCTGAGATACGGTTGTTTGGGTTTGGCAATCAAGAGGCAGCTGGTAACCTATAAGACAACTGTTTGAGTGGCTTGTAGGAGATGACGAGTGGAATCTAGGTTGTAAGGACAGAGGACAAGGTATTTATTAGAAAAGTTTGGCGAAGAGGAAGGAAGTGGGTCAGTGGCCTATGGGCATGCTCTGAGCACGGTGGAAGGTGATAACAAGAGAAAGAAGGTGAATAATGCAAGACAAGAGGGATGGTTCTAGGAAGGAGTGAGAGGTCCAATCCATCAGTCCAGAATCTCTGACTGGAATCAGTCCATGAATAAAATCATAAAGAATGCTGAGAAATTTCCAGGTTTTTAAAATAGGTAAGTGTGTAATCCTGTCTTTACATTTCATTATGTGGCAAAGGTTGCCTGCTGATCAGGTCTGAAACACTGCCCAACAGAACTTTCTGTGGTGACCGGAATCTTGTACACGTGCACTCCTCCATTCGTAGCTGCTAGCCACATGTGGCCGTCAAGCATTTGAAATGTGGTTTGTGAGACCAAGAAATTGAATTTGTTTTATTTAATTTTCATTTATTTAAAGTTAACCCCATGTGGCCAGTGCTAGGGTAACTGGATAGTGCAGCGCTAGGGATTAGGATACTGGCAAAGAACGGAAGCACCACTGTGCACAGTGAAACAGCAAGCCAGGAGGGAAAAGGCTGCCTGCCCAGGAGCACTGATTTTCCTTCAGTAAATGCCATCAGCTGGGCCAGAAACACACACCCATCTTTAGTTGCAGAGTTACTGAGTAACTGCAGGCAAGATTAGGTATCTCTTCTGCTATCTGCAAAATAACCAACTGGAAGCATCCCAATGGTTTATGGAATAAAGGAACTTCTAGGAGTCCAGAACAGTAGGTTAGGAATGCAGCCAGGCAATCACAGACTCTAAATTACCCACTGAAACTAGTGTCTGAAAATGGACAATCACTCTCCATGGGTAAGCCGCTGACTTTACTGTGGGACTTTTTCCAACATCTTCACCCCTAAGCTTCTAAAAAAGCATTTCGGCTTACCTCCCCACACTCTTTACTACTTGTTGAGTTACTGATTTGTAAGGAAGGGCAGACAAGCAGGGGGCCTAGAAAGGGCTCGAAATCAACCATCAGCAACACTCACCCTAGTAGAGTTTGCTGTGGTAAGAGTGACAGACACCTATGTTAAAGGTATTTAATGCTGACATGATGTAACTGTTTTAAATCCCAGTGGGTAAAAAATTAAAAGCTTATTATGAAAATGTCATTTAAATGCTAAGCATTATCCTAAGAAAAATAGTACCTGTACACATTTTCCTCTTCCTTTTGCAGAATGCCCACTAAGACATTTTTAAAAACGCTGCCATTATCCCTCAAACACCCTCAAATTCACTCCCAAATTCAAAGACGATTTAGAAATTGGGCAACTAGGAATTTAGGGAAAACTATGAAAAGTTTGATAGAGGGGATCACAAAAAAATGTTGAAAAATGATGAATCAAGGAGTTTGAGAAAGAACTGTAAAAAATGAGATATTTTTATGAGTTTATATGAATCACTCACGGCACTCTCAGGTACCCATCGTGTCAATGGGCAAAGAACATAAACCAACAACATTAATCAAGGAAAAAATATGACTAATGTAGATGAATACCCTGCCCGCCAATGTTAGCAATAGCAAGGAGATATCATCTGCTCCCACCTTCCAAACTTTTCATTTGAGAAAATCTATTGTTTCTAAGCTTAAAGTCATTTCCTCCCCACAGAGGTCTGATATTTAACTTGATTTTTATCTATTTCAATTGTTTTGATTTGATATTCTTAATTGATAGATATACTTAAATTTATAAACGGACTTGATATATAAATGTACTAAAGGTTAGGTAGATTGAATGTCTACATATAAGTGCTAAGTGAGGGCAGGATGGTGGGGGTGGTTAACAGGTAATCATTCAGAAACAGCATACTGAAGAACTATTTTTAAACCATACTTTTCTGATAGATTTTCAAACACAAAAGTAGGAACTGATATAAGCTATTAATAGTCTTCAAATCTGAAGATGCCGGAGTAATCTGAACTTTTCAAGGACAATAGAAATCACCAGAATTTAATTACAATTTGAGCTCTACAAATCTCTTGGCCTCAGTCCATGTTAACTTAGAAGACAGCCAACCATTTGGGGCCAAAGGCTCTCCTTAGGTATCAGCAGTAACAGGACATCCCTGCTGGGTCATGTCTAAACTATGCAAAGACGATAAAGTTTCTAAAAGGAGGTTGTGGTTAAGAAAAAAGACTTGAACAAATTGTGTGAATGAACTTTCAATAAGAAAAAAAGAATTAAAACACTCATCACTACTCCTCATCCCATAATCTAAGCTAAAATATTTTAAATGGCAATAAATGGTAATAATGTAATATACATATCACTTAATATGTGCTGAAAATTTAATAGAAGGCTCATAAATCTCCAAATAGACTCTAATATGGGATTTTCTAAGTTTGGCCTATTTAAAACAAAATCATATAAATACCTTCAGCCTATCAAGTCTTGATGGTGCACAACAAATGTAAACTACTGTCTATGAGCAGTTATGATATTGAGTGCTTATTGTGTGCTAAAGGCTTAACATGCAATGGCTCATTTAATCCTCATATTTAATTAGAAGAGAGTTCAGGCTTAGAGTGGCCAGACGCATGCCCAGGTCACTTGGCTAACAGCAAGTCTGTCAGACTCCCAAACCAAACTCTTCACCAATGAACTGTAATCCTCCTCACAGGGCCTCTTTCATTTGCCTTAGAAAATCGGTTTCATTATAATTCTTTCTAACTGGCCTTCCCTTTTTACTCCCTTTTAAAAAAAAGTTATAATACATTTCAAAAAGAATAAATAATATACAGATGACCATGTACCCAATGCCCCAAATACATTTTAATTTTAGCATAGCTGTATCAAGTTGTATAAATAAGTAAAACATAACAGGCATAGCTGAATTTTAATTCCCCCCCACACACCAGAGGTAACCACCATGCTGAAGTTGTGAATCTTTCAAGATCATGTTTTTATACTTTACTAATGGTTTACATCCTGTTCTGAAATTTCACTGAAATGTATCTTACTGTATACATTTACCATACTGTAACATCCTTTAGTAATATGTAGCTCACTCTCATTGTAACAACTGTATTGCATATCTTTATATGTGCTAGTCTGTTTCATCCATCAGTCCTGTAACAAACATCCTTATTTTTCCTCCCCACATCTTAACTGACACTCCTTCTACTAGCTGTGTATGAATAATCCCATTTCTCTGCTACTAAACTATACCTTGGTGTTGTCGGATTTACAAATATTTGTATCTAAAGTAAGGTAATGTTACTTAATTATTGTTTTACTTTGCATTCATCACTAGTGAGGTTTAACATCATGCTTTGAATGCCCTTAGCCATATTTTCTCTCTTCTATGAACTGCCTATTCATATCCTCTGCCAATTTTGGAAATAGGTTTATTTTTTCTCAACTGATTTGAAAGAGTTCTTTTTATATTTTGTATACTAAACTCTGCAGGTTATAAGGGCTGCAAATATATTTTCCTGGGCTGTGGCTTGCTGTGGTAGGCTGAATAATTAATATTCTCCCACTTCTACCCCTACTTCCTAAGAATGTCCACATCCTCGTCTCTACAACCTGTAAATATGTTACTCGACAGGGTCGAAGGGATTTTGCTGATTTGATTAAGAGTTAAGAATTCTGACATAGGGATATTAGTCTGGATTATCCTGACAGGCCTAATATAATCACAAGGGTCCACATAAGAGGGAGGCAGAAGGGTCAGAGATAGAAGATTAAGAGCAGAAGTTAGTGAACTTTGAAGAAGGAAGTGGGCCGTGTGCCAAGGAATGCTGGGGACCTCTAGAAACTAGAAAAGGTCAGGAAACAGATTCTCCCCTAGCATCTTCTAGAAGCAATGTGGTGCTGCCAGCACCTCAATTTTACCTCAGGAAGTTTTTTTTTTTTTAGACTTCTGAACACCAGAACTATAAGATAATTTGTTGTTGAACCATTAAGTTTGTGGTAATTTGTTTCAGCAGCTGTAGGAAACGTATACACTTGCCTTTTACCCTTTTCTTACTTATATGTTTTGTGATTAAAACCATCCTACTCCAGTATCATTAGAATAGTTTTCCTATATTTTCTTCTAAGTTTTAAAGTTTGTTTTTCACATTTAGGTTGGCAATAATCCATCTGGAACTTATTTTTGTGTTTGGAGTAAAACAACATTCTAACTATCTTTTTCCACGTAAAGGGCCAATTGTCTCAACACCACTTAATAGTTCATAACAGCCCACTGTAATGCTATTTTTGTCACATTCCAAATTCCATTATTTAAGTAGGTCAATTTCTTTTATGCTGTCCTGGTTCCACTGCTTTGTGTCTCTTTGTATCAATACTTAATATCTTAATTATTATTGCTCTATGATGAAATATATATTTGGTAGGACAAGCGATACTGCCCATTGTTCTTAAAAATATCTTGGCTATTTTGAACCCCTATTTCTTTCAAAATAATTTTACGATAAGCTTGTAGTGTTTCACCACCCTATCCCATCCCGCACCCTAAAAGAGGATGAAAGAGTCTATAAGCATTTGTCTGAAATTGTATTAGTTTGAGGAAGACCACAATATTGAGCCTTTTTATCTATAGAAGTTTCTGTCCATGTTTTATATTGATCTTCAATAAAGTTTTTATAGTTTTCTCCATTCAGGACATACTTGCCTTGTGTTAGATTTACTCCAAAGTCCCCAGGGTTTGCTATTTTTCTTGTATTCTGCAACTTTTAAAAAACTCATATTAACCCTAATAACTCATTTGCAGATACTCTTGACAATTTTGTTTCCTCCTTTATACTTTTTTTTGTTTGTTTTAATCTTATTCAAGTGGCTGGGCCTCCAGAATATTGTTGAATAGAAATGGTGATAGATCTATGACTTCTGCCTTGATTGAAAGGGAAATGCTTCAGATGTCTGACAGGGAAGTTCATGTTTACTATCGGCTTCTATTGGTCTTCACTTTTAAAATGTACACAATAGTTATTATAATTAAATCTATGTGGGTTCAGCTGAAAATTTAATAGTAACCAGACTCTTATACATTTTATAAACTCATTGCTTCCTTTCATTCTGTGGCAGGATTTACAGTCTCCTTCTATTTATAGCTGTGCACCTTACTCAGTTTTCTTGCACAGAATGAATTGCCAATTCTTATTCTATCTCTTAAGATCATTTATGTCATCACCATCATAAAATCATTTGAAGTTTTTCTACAGCCTCTTGTTACGATGTTTCTTTTGCTTTGCCTGGTTGTAGCTGCCAGGATTGGATTATTACTTCAAAGGAGGCCAATTTCCATGCCAAGCCACCATGGAGACACTAAAGAAGCAATGCGTGGACTGCTGCCCCCATAGAAACATGATAAAAGCAAGTTACCCCAAACACTACTAGCCCAGTGCTTAAAACATTTTATTTAGGTTTCCCACCCATCTCCAGCTTCTAATGCTTTTGGGGACTGTTATATGGTATAACCTTATTGAAAGCTAATACACTATCTTATTCCCTCAGGCCACATGTGTCCTAAAGGTTAGATACATTGTTTTTCATTTCCAATTCGAAATATTCTCAGGATAGTTATTTCCAAAAGAGCTGGAGGCTGTCAAAGATTTGAAAATACGTGTTCTAACAGTTTATTTACATGAGTTAACTGAGTCCAAATAAATTAATTCGCCCAAGGTCACATTAGTGAGAAGCAAAACTATCAACTATGCTCCTAGCTTTTTTCACTGTAACATGACAATAAATTATGCATCCATGGGCCTCTGGAATGTAAAATGTCTGCACAAATAGAAATCAGCCTGGAGCAAACTGTCATTGCAAAACATACTGATCTTATATGAAGATAAAGAGTCTTAAGACTCCTCAATATTATACCACTTTAGCATTTAGTCACTAAGCACGTCTGGGAATGCCAACTACCCTCAGAATTCTAGTATTCATAAAAGCAAAATCAAAGGATGAGCTCATAGATATGTAAAGTCAACTCAACTGGCCTGAAACATTTCCTAGAATGAATTCAGAATCACACTGGATTTTGGCATAGAGAGTGAAATTAACAAATCTACAGGAAAAAAAGTGTATCAGTTCCTAAGAAAGAATGCAGCAGGGGGAGAGGAGATGCAGAAGGAATTAGAGAAGCAGGATAGAGTGGGCCTAGCATTTTCCAGGGACAGAAGGCACAGAATCTGGAGAAAATGAGCAATTGGACCCTGAGGGAACAGGAGGAGTCTTTTTTGTGGGGAATGTCAGCTAATCTCAAGATACCTTATTTTACCTGAATCTATGCTCAATAAATACCCTTCTGATGACTTAATCGGTTTCCCGTGTTCTTCCAGAGGCAGAAAAAGACCCGGGACAGAATTCTCAAGCGTTCCTGTCACTAGTACAAGTGTTCACCAACCTTGTACATATTACCGAGCTGATCGGTCTGATTTACATATCAGTCTCCTAGATCTGATCAGCTCAGGGCTTTGAGGCTGGGGCCAGAGCTGGGGGTGGGGTGAAACATGGCTGGCTTCGTCAAGCAAATGCTACCTGTTAAAGTCTCTTCAGGGTCACTCTGGAGATCTTTGCTGGGATGCCCAACCTCACTTCACACTCCTTCCATTTCGACACCAAAACAACTGTCTAAACATGTCTTCGACAACACTTTTCAAAGACTTACTACCATGCAGAGGCATTAAAAAAGTTAAATGTGCTGTCCTTACATAAGTCGAATATACATGTTAATTAGTTCTTGGAGTGAAAAGGCTATATAGCTCTCAAATGTTTCCCAAAAGGCACCTTCACCCACACTGCCTGGATTCCACAAGACCCAAAAAGGGACATGCAACCACACAATTTACGTAAAAACATTTCTAGTTTTACTAATTTTAATTATTCATTTTTGACTTCCTGGATGTAAAAGAATTGTAACTCTTCAAAGAAAAACAGTAATACTCATTAATTGTCACTATTTCTACAACACCGTCCTTAGAAATTTAGTTGGTTTAGCTCATTGAATTATTAGTCCTGTAAATCCTTTCAAGACGGAACTTCCATATTTAGAACTACATATTTTGCTTTTACAGTTAATACCACATAAGTATCTGTCTGCCGGCTTGACCACAAAAAATTCCGAAGAAAATTCCTTTCCCATAGTGTAGACTACCTTGGAATGCCCTTTATAGCCTCGTCAATACTTGGGAAGACTGATTGGACCACATTCTATTTTTTCTGCCAGTTTTCCTCCCATAGACAGGAAGCATCAGGAGCCACTTAGACTTTCCAAGTTGGTGTCTAAGGGCCCACTGAGATAGACCAAGGATTCTATTCCTATTCTTATTCCTCAGCCTTGAGAAATAAGGGTTGTGATCAAAGATCCTGAGTATGGCCATCATTCTCGAAGCTGGCTGTGGCTGAAAGGTATGAGTCACTCCGACCACAACATAGGGCTTCAAATCACCTTGGTGTAAATCTCAGCTTTAACCAAATGCTCCTAGGAGTCATAACTAGATACCTTGAAAATATCCCAAACCCTTGCTGCCTGCTCTGCACAGACCTATTCAATAGGCGCCGAGAACTGACGCCGCAGAGGAGCGATCCTGTTGTCCTCATTTTTAAAATTCTGAGGAAATATGACAGAAAGGAGAAACCACTTACTCTATAAATGTGGCCTCCAAGGTGACCCAGACAATTCTGCACACAACATGCAGGAAAGCCCTAGTTCCCCTGCCCCTCCACCCAAACAAGGTTTGAAATCAATACCAGTGGTGGTCCATGCCTTAAAGTGACATTGTAAACCTGTGTAGCAGACAAATTGTTATTAGATTTATCTAATAATGAAACAATCGGATTACTTTTATTAAGTGGCTGTAACAATTACATCCATAATACAACAGCTAACACTAATGAGGTGCTCACTATATGTTGGGCATTTTACAAGCATCATTTTCTGTAATATCCCAGTGCCCTTATAAAGGGCTATTCTTTTCTAGATGCAGAAACTAAGAATTTTGCCAATATCACCCAAACTGATTAAGGCATCAAATGGGATTTAAGTCCAGGCCTATATTACTCTAGTTTTTTTTGCTTTAAACAAAAACAAAAACAAAAAGGAAAATATGTTACATTTTGGTTAGATTTCATGAGTGAATCTCCATTTTACAATCCATAAGTAAATTATTCAGATTTTTACATTTGCCCATATTTTTTTTCCTTCAACTTTGCATTCTCATTTAATTCCTAGGTAATTAAACTGAACAAGAAAAAGCCTTATGCATTCAGCAAAGTACTTACATAGTCAATGGGCTTGAGGGATTTGACTTTAGATGTTGGGCAGCCACAAGAAGTAAGGTCAGCATAGAGGCCTTCTTCTAACACACACTGGTTATTAGAAATGTCTTCTTGGTAATATAGAAGCCAGCTAAAAAGATAAGAAGTGAGACATTCAGTCAAGCTGCATCAGCTGACCGTGCAGGCTCATCGTCATGCTGTGGGAACTATGGTAGGAGTATGACATGAGTCATGGTGCTGGACCAGCAGTGAATAGCTGCCAGCAGTTAAAACAAACCAAAAACCAAAACAAACAAACAAACAAAAAAACCCAGTTATCACTATCATTTTTTGACTGCTTATCATGTGCCAGACATAGGCTAAATACTTTACATATATTATTTCACTGCATCCTCAAAAATTCTATGAAATAAAAATATATCCTTATTTTGACAGGCAATACAATGAAGGCTTAGAAAGGTAAGATGATTTTCCCAAAGTCTCCCCAATTATTAAATGATAGAGCTGAAATATGAAATAAGATGACACTCGCTTTAAGCTAAAGACATTAGCTTCGTTCAGTGCCTTCAAGTACAAAACTGTGGGATCAAATTATAGTGATCATTAAGTTCTTGAACAGGTTAGAAGTTTTTTGGGGGGGAATGGAAATAAAAATTTTTATTTTTTAAAATAATGAGTTTACCTCAGTCTGAATTAGAAGATAGATTCCTAAAAGCAAAGTATATAAAACCTGTCACCTAATGGAGATTTTAAAAAAGAAATAAGCCCTTCATAATATTTGATACTGAATTATTTTCCATATGGCACTCATCAAAAGCTTGGTTAAGACATATTCTTTTGAAAAGAAGGAGCCCAAGGGAGAAATGAATTGGCTGTTACTTCTTCAGTTTTGGTGTGTTTAAGTTCTGGACCTGTATTTGAAGATAACCAGAACTGTACTCCAGCGAGACCAAGTTAACTTTGGAAAACTATAGAAATGCTCTGTGACATTATAATTTACAGTCATGTCTTCTATGCAATAAGCATTTTATGGCCAACAATTATCAAAGGCATGGACTCAATGTGTCAGGCATGGACTTAAGCCCTCCATGTGTATTGTTTATTTAATCCTTATAAGAATCTTTGAGGTAAGTAGTATTATTATCCCTCCTTTACAGATGAGGAAACTGAGGTTCACTGAAATGATTCAATATGTTTAAGGTTACGTAGCTAGGAAGTGATAGAACTGGGCTCAAATCCAGATCTTTCAAGCATTCCAGGTACCGAAGCAATTGCCATGGTTCTTGTATTCTTTTATTACACTGTAGTTTAATAAACTACACATAAATATAAGTACATATAAAACAATGCATATTATAAATATAAAATGTATATTTTAAATTATATTTCATATATAAAAATTATTTATATACAAATAAAATGTATATTCCCCATATGAAGTGACACATGTGACTAATTTTTCCTAGACTTCAGTGTTAGAAAAAAACATTTCCTCCAGAAAAATGTTAGTGCTTCCTTTTATCAGAAAATAAAAATATATCTATCAAAATATTTTCTTTGATCTTAATGGAGAAGAAACTCAGAGCCGAATACTAGTAATGAAATTATTTCAGGTCTTATGAAAGAGTTGAGAATAAATGGTGTCCAAGTTTATGTGTTTTAATACTGTAAAAACTCTCATATCCTTTTTGGAAGTAAGTATAAAAACAGTAACACAGAGACAGGTTCGAAGTACGAAAACCTATAGATAATCTGAGAGGGAAAAGACTGAATTAGCATTCATCAAGAAGGTTAGCAAAGGGAATGAGGACAGACTGAAGCTTCAAGATATATTCTGATAAGAAGTAGGCAGGGGTCATGAACTTACATAACTGCAGGAGACCAGGAAGGAAATGTGAGTAGTGTACCAGCTTTAAAACAAAAAAAAATTGGGAACATTTCCCCTTGATACATAGGAGCACGTAAGCCATCTACTCAAGCTAATCATTGCCAAAGGCAAACGCATTGCCAGTTTTCAAATCTTCTAACTTTTAAAGAGAAAGTGGAAAACAGGTTCTTCTGAAAAATATCCTAAACTTAAATACTGATACAAAGATTTTTTTAAAAAAACATAATGTGTAGGCCAAAAAAAATAACATCTGTTGGCTAGATGTATCTGAAACCTACAACCTCTAATGTAGAGCAGGGTTAGTGAACCACTGCCCATGGGCCAAAATCACCCCATTGCCCATCTTACAAGCTAAGATTGATTTTTGCATGTTTAAATGGTTTTAAAAAACTAAAAGAAGGTGATTTCATATATGTGAATATTATATATAATTCAGATTTTTAATGTCCATAAATAGCTTCACTGGAACACAGCCATGCCCATCCACTTATGTACCATCTATGGTTGCTTTTGACTACAGTGGTGGTGCTGAGTGGCTGGCACAGGGCCTGTATGGCCCACAAAGGTGAAAATATTTACTTTCTGGTTCTTTATAGAAAAAGTGTGCTGACTCCCACTATCCTAGGGGGGAAAATACATGGCTGAGTAAATGTTGGAAGGAGAGGATGGGGGAACAATATAAGCATGGACAGAGAGTAGATAGAGAAAATGAGCCTAGCAGATGGTAAATCCTGAAGAGTTTGAACAGATCTGAGAGAATGACTGTGAAATTTAAAGGAGAGTAGTAAAATATTAAACTGGATTTTTGGACAAATAAGCAGGCTATGATTGGTTTGTGGTAAACAATGGACATAATACAATGCTGGAGCAGGGTTAATTAGGAGACTGAAGTTCCTCAAATGGAAACTAGGAGAACCTAGTTTCTAGTGGTTCAAGAGAGAAAGGAGAGTTGATGACTCCAAGGAACCTTAAAGAACAAATACAGATACTTTGATGAGTTATTAGGTAGGTACTTCATACACAGAGATACCACTGAACTGTACACTTCGAATAGTTAAAATGGTATGTTTTGTTATGTATATTTTACTACAATAAAAAGTCAATATAGAATTTATGTATTAGGCTTAAGAATCATATACAGTTCATATATATGTACAAAAGATCCAGTATGTTGCTGCAGTTGGAAGAACACAGACTTTAATAAAAAATGACTGAAGCAATCTCGGGTCTGACATTTACTGTGTGATCTTGGGGAAGCCCTAACTCTGAATCAGGGATCCTCATCTGTGCAATGGGGATGATGAACACTTTAAACAAAAAGTTTTGTTTTAATTTAGTAAGAATGTCTTATTTGAACAAAACCACTAATTTTGAGCATTCTACTACGCTATACAATTAACATACAATATAAACATTCCAAATATTTAGAAAACAATGTAACAGTAAAAAATAAATCATCAAAATGCTCCCAAAGATGGCTAGTCAGCATTTTGTTTCTATTACACAATGGCTCATAATATGACTTGGGCAAAGTTAACATGGGATAGTTAGCAGTTAACCAATGATTAAAAAATTGTTTTTATTTCACTGTGAATGCAATAAAATAAAACAGATCAAATCTTTCAATTTTACAAGAAATTTAGTTATTAAGCAACAGTAGGAAACAATAAGCCTACTTACCAACCCCGAACAACTTTAAAAGAACATGGAGTGAATGAAGTCAAATCAGAAATTTCTTTTGTAAAATCTATACATTCACCTTGGAACCCTGGTTTACTGAATGCTTTGAGCTACAAAAAAAACAAACACAACAAACAGAAACAAATTGACATCATCACAAAAGCAAAAGAAAACCTTAAGTTTCATGTCCTAAAAAGTTCAGAAAAATATTACAGATTCATATTTTATCTATTATCCATGAATCCATGTTAAGGATGACATTTTCCTTAAACTTACATTTTTTTCCCTTTACCTGTTTCCAGAAAAATCAGCATCTATTTACCATTTTCATCTATCTCTTGCACCAGATTCTGGGCAGAGAAGCTCATAAAATAATTGTACCTATAAAAGTAAATCAGAATCCCTCTTCCACTAAAACGTGGTCTTTGTACATTGTATCAAACAATTATTATCCCTTGTGGTGAGACTATAGGTATAAAACAAGCAGCAATTTAGCACTAAAAACAAAGGAAGTCTGGATTAGTGTGAAAGGTGGTATATTCCTTCTCTCGCCAAGTCTTTCTGATCTACAGTTAATAAAAGGGAGGAGGAGAAAGCGTGAGCACATGCCCATAAGTGAGCATGAGAGTGCCTGTGAGAGCACAGGAACAGATGGTAGAGAAGATAATAATGATGGGATTAGTAGAAGATTTATAATAAAGAAAGAAAGACATCTGTGCCATGCATTTCAGCTTACAGGCTTCAGTTTGCTGGTAAGAATACCTTAAATGTACAGCTTACACTTACATACAACTACATTTCTACTCAGTCCTTTTTGTCAAGAAAAATCCAGGAAATCTCAACTATAATTCTTCAGACCTCCAGAGATACAGTAATCTGCAATTCTAGTGACCTTGTATCTGTAATAGGTAAGAAAAAATTAATGAGCCCTATAAATATTTCATAATACACCGAGACCTTGAAATAACATGGCCCACAGGCTCACCCTGCACTGACAGCCCTGCACTGTAGTTAATGCATCATAATGTCGCCATTTCTCCTGCTCACGCTGACAGAGAACAAGGCTTCTCTAAGCAGCCGATGTTTGACTCCTTCTTTTTCCCAAGGGCCCTCTTATAGGATGATGGTCTCTAAGTAATGAAGAATTATTTCTTGACTATCTCATTCTGCCCCGACCTTGCTTAGCCTGATATCAAAGATCAGCCAAAACCTGGGAGGTGAGAGACTCAATTGTCCCTGACCAACTGCAGCTTGCACAACATGGCTTCCTACCGTGAAGCCAGGCTGCATTTGGAGCATTAAAACACCAAGGGACTCCCTGACCTACGAACACGTGACCCAGCAAGTTTCTACCTCGGTCTTTCTGATGGAGACAGAAGATAGCAGCAAAGAGGAAGTCCACAACGAGACAAGACTCTGGAACAGCTCCCTGTATAAGAACAATTCTACAAGTCCAGGGAAACTGCCCCTAAATTCCCTGATAAGAGTATATATTTTTGTTAGTGGTTTTGCAGGCTATGTTTTTTAACTTAAAAGTTTGTAATATATGAGTCTAAAAGTGACTCACATTTAACGTCCAAAAATGTAGAGGAATTTCTCCTACATGCAAATATTATGTTAATTCACAATTAGAATCTGAAAAACCACTTGAGAACAGAGATCACGCCTCTTTCATTCACTGCTTGTATTCCCAGTTTGTTGAGGAATATTGTTGAGCTTACGATTTGTATTTCAATATTTCATCATGAAGCCATGAAATATCAAATCCTAGACAAATGACAACGCAATTTCAGATTACTTATATAGTAGCCATCTCTACTTCTGTCTTCATGCCCAGAAGCATTAATTAAAATACACACACACTCTACAAAATTCGCCATAAAATATTTTGATTTATGAGTTAAAATATTGTCTAGCCAAACTAAAAAACTGGGCATAAGGCTGATCTAAGTATATATTATTTTCACCCCCCACATAAGATATGGTTCATCCAATATTTGACCAATCCCCAGAAAAGTTAACACCTCATTCTGACTACCTTACAAACAGAATAGAACAATTCTCATAATAATATCCTAAGGACAGTAAATACAGACACTAACTCTGCACTTAATTATAATAATTAAAATGTGGTTTCCACTCGGTAAAATTAAGCGACAGTGATTTGCTAAAATTAAGTCCTGTGAAAAGCTAGCTGGATAACTGTTTTGGTTTCCTTTCTAGATTAATGTAGAATAAATGTACAAAACAATTCAAACAGGTTGTTTAGAACACAGGCAAGAAGTCAGATGAACAAAAGATGAGCTTTTTTTTCTGAAATAAAATCACAAATAAAGAGAAGTGACACTGACAACATAGAAATACAAAAGATTATAGGAAAATACTATGAACAATTATATGCCAACAAATTGGACAATCTGGAATAAATAAATTCCTAGAAATATAAAATTTTCCAAGACTGAGTCAACAAGAAATAGAAAATCTGAACAGATCAATAACTACTAATGAGATCGGACCAGTAATAAACAAACAAAAGTCTTGGACCGATGGCTTCACAGGCGAAATTTATCAAACATTCAAAGAAGAATTAACACCTATCCTTCTCGAACTATTGCAAAATATTCAAAAGGAGGGGAGACTCCCAAGCTCATTTAAGAGGCCGCTATTACTCTGATTGCAAACCAGACAAAGAATTACAGGCCAGTATCCCTGATGAATATAGATGCAAAAATCCTTAACAAAATAGTAGCAAACAGAATTCAGCAACACAATCAAAGATTCAAACACCGTGATCAAGTGGGATTTCTTCCCTAGGATGCAAGGTTGGTTCGATATCCACAAATCAATTAACATGATACATCACATAAACAAAATGAAGGGTAAAAATCATATTGTCAGTAGATGCAGAAAAGTATCTGATAAAATCTAGCAGCCATTTATGATAAAAACTCTCGGCAAAGTGGGAATAGAGAGAACACACCTCAACATAATAAAGGCCATGACAACCCCATAGCTAACATCATACTCAATGGGAGAAAAGCTAAGGAACAAGACAAGGTTGTCCACTTTCACCACTTATATTCAACATAGTTTTGGAAATCTTTGTCTCAGCAATCAGACAAGAAATAAAAGGCATCTGAATTGGAAAGAAAGTAGAACTGTCATCATTTGCAGATGACATGGTACTATACCTAAAGATTCCACCAAAAAACCTGCTGATACTGATAAATGAGTTCAGTAAAATAGCAGCATATAAAATTAATATTTAGAAATCAGTTGCATTTTAATATGCCAATAACAGACTATCAGAAAGAGAAATTAAGAAAGCAATCCCTTCATAATTGCATAAAAAATATACCTAGGAATAAGTTTAACCAAGGAGGTAAAAAGGCTTGTACTTGGTAAATTATAAGTCATTGAAGAAAGAAAACAAAGATACAAATAAATGGAAGCGCACATCGTGCTCATGTATAGGAAGAATTAACATAGTTAAAATGGCCATACTACCTGAAGCAATCTATAGATTCAATGCAATCCCTATCAAAATACCAATGGCATTTTTCATAGAACTAGAATACTCCTAAAATTTCTATGGAACCACAAATGACCCCAAATAGTTATAGCAGTCTTGAGAAAAGAATAAAGTTGGAGGTATCATGCTACCTGGTATCAAACTATACTAAAAGCCTGCAGTAATTAAAATAGCATGGTAATGGCACAAAAACAAATACATGAATCAATGTAACAGAAGAGAGAGCCCAGAAATAAATCCAACTATATGGGCATTTAATCCAAGATAAAGGAGGCAAGAATATATAATTGGGTAAAGACTGTCTCTTCAATAAATGGTACTGAGAAAACTGGACAGATATCTGCAAAAAAAAAAAGAAAAGAAACTAGACCGCTTTCTTACATCACATACAAACAAACTTGAAATGGATTAAAGTTTAACTGTAAGGCCTGAAACCATAAAACTCTTAGTAGAAAACATAGGCCAGTGTAAACTCTCTGGCACTGCTCTTAGTAATATTTTTTTCTGTTATGTGGCCTCGGGCAAGAGAAACAAAAAATAAACAAATGGGAATACATTAAACTGAAAAGTTTTTATGCAGCAAAGGAAACCACCAATAAAAAGATAACTTACCAAATGGGAGAAGGTGGGATGTATATTTACCAATAATACACCCAATAAGGGGTTAATATCCAAAATTTAAAAAAATTCATACAATACCAAAAAAACTCAAACAATTCATTAAAAAATGGGCAGAAGGCCTGAAAAGACATTTCTCAAAAGAGGACATATAGATGGATAATAGACGTAAGATGCTCAATGTCACCATCATCAGAGAAATGCAAATTAAAACTACAATGAGATATTGCCTCACACCTGTCAGAATAGCTATCATAAATAAATCAATAAACAAGTACTGGTGAAGATGTGGAGAAAAGGGAACCTTCATGCATTTAGACTGCAAATTGGTGCACTCACTGTGGAAAACAGTGTGGACATTCCTCGAAAAATTAAAAATAGACCTACCTATGACCCAGCAATTCCAATTCTGGGTATTTATCCAAAGAAAAGCAAAACACTAATTTGTAAAGGTATGTGCACCCCTATATTCACTGAAGCTCTACTTAAGACAGCCAAGATATAGAAACATTTTAAGTGCCCACCAATAAATGATTAGATAAAGAAGAGTTAGTACATATATATGGTGGAATATTACTCAGCCATTAAAAAAAAAATCTCACCATTTGCAACAACATGGATGGACCTAGAGGGTATTACACTAAGTGAAATAATAAGTCAGACAGAGAAAGACAAAGACCGTATGAATTTGCTTATATGTGGAATCTAAAAAACAATAAATAAAACAGAAAGAGACAGATTCAGAGAACAAACTGATGGTTGCCAGATGAGAGTGAGGTTGGGAGTTGGGTGAAAAAGTGAAAAGATTAAGAAGTACAAAATGACAATTACAAAACAGTCACAGGGATGTAAAGTACAGCATAGGGAACAGAATCGATAATATTGTAATTGTGTATGCTGCTAGGTGGGTACTAGACTTATTGAGGGATCACTCTGTAAGTGGAAAAAAAAAAAAAGAGA